GTACACTACTGTATTGATTTTGTTTAACAAAAATCACTTGAATATTTAAAATGGACAGATTTTCAGTTGACCCTTGACATTTAATAATTTCAAATAATATTTTCCCTAGTCAAACACATTCTAAATAGACATATCTTTGCAAACTCTAGAGTCAAAGCTCATTGTTGGGTCTACTGATGTCCTAGATGGCTCAGGTATATAATGTGAAATTAACTGTGTATCAGTACATGTATACATGTACATTTGCATTCCATTAGACCGTGCAAAGTAACTATAACAATGTTGACTTACGTGTGATTTTTGTAATAGGTTTTGGGATGTTAAAATTTCAAAACGCTTGATGGTTATATTGTCTGTTTCAACAACTATTGGTAAAACTAATATGTATGTTTTTTATAGAGTTAAAGTTACTAGGTATGTAAAATTTCTCTACGTATGTACAAAGGTTTGATACTTTTTCATACTTTGTTATGAATATATATTGAGAAGCACACCATATAAGAGAATGATATTATCACAATATTGATTTAATACCTTTTAGAAGTCAAAATTGAAAATGAAAATAATTAAGCATCAATATTGAAGAACTGGACACATTTTAAAAAGAGTTTTTGTCCAATGTTTAATTGAAAACAAGAAAACCTAAATGACTAAAATGTATGTGTAACTCAGGTAGTTTCAGATATTGACAAACCCTTGTTTAATGTTATTGGAGGGACACAGAACTTTGTATGTAATAACTTCTCATTTCATCTTAGTTATTATAATGTATATTGTTATTGTGTGTTATGACATGTTTAAAAAGTGTATATATAACATCCATGATAATTTTTTTCATTTCAGCAGATACATTTTAGGAAATGATTCAAGATATCTATAATCAAAATTAATTATGTTTTTATTCAATTTTTCATAGTGATGTTTTTGGATATTTGATTCCTGGACTCTTTCTGTAGTGTGACTTGGCTTACTTTTTGAGGACCTATGATATCTCTTGGAGAAATTAGTGAGCTCATCAAAATGGTTAATTTTATATTGATGACAAATATGTTAAATGTGTGCATATTTCAAAGTTGATATGTGTATTTTCTTGTACGTCACTACATGTTATGAACTGAGTTTAGACATCAATAAATACATGTACACACTTGACAAGTTGTACTTAGTTCAGATGTTTGAGTGGAAAGAAAAGTGGATGACTCCTCTGGAACTTGTATGGTTGCCAGTTGTTAAAAGTGCATCCGCTTCTAATAATTGTTCTGAGCAAGAATTGGGATATAAATAAAGGTTGACTTTCAATCAAATATGACCCCTCAACAGATGTTAGATATTACATTTGTCTATGGATGATTACAGAAACAACTGTGAATCACACAGTTAAATACAACTTGACATGTACATATAATTTTCTGTTCAACAGTTAGTAATGATTCAATAAATATCTATTAACTTGGATATCAGAATATTTTCTTGCTCAGATCACAGTTTATTTTTTTACAAATGACTAAAATACACACACTGAAAATACCCCAGATTCACCTTTAAAGTCACTGATTATAATAGCTTTATGCTGTGTGACCAATATCAGTTAAGCATAATATTTGTAACTAACCTCTGTGCTTTGTTCTTGTTCTAGTTGCTTTAATAGGAATTATTTGTAATAGGTTTTTATTATTTACATTTTAGGGACTTTTCCATATCCCATTTTAACGATGTACTACATTAAGATGAACAACTGAATTTAAGATTTCGGCCTTGTTCTTCAAATACCGCAAACTACCATAGATTCTAATACTCTACACTAATTAAATCTTGCTTGTAACAAGCATTTTCATCGGCTTAAATATTTATGTAATCAGCCCATAACGTTAATAAATGACGTAGCTGTTTATAACGTCGCTTTTGATTGGCTGATACAGCAGCGCAATAATTCCTTAATGAAAAGAGTCCATCAATAAAAGAGGATTTCCACAGGGATTTTGTATAGTAGATTAAATAATAAGGATTAACTTGAATATATTTTTCATGTTATGGAGATATAACACAAAAAACGGAGTGTACTCTAAATAAACCGCGAAGCGGTTTATGATGAGAGTACACTCAGGTTTTTTGTGTTATAAAAAAAAGTGGGCAATTGTCAATATTATTTAAGGATTAACTTGAATATATTTTTCATGTTATGGAGCTATAACACAAAAAAAACGGAGTGTACTCTCATCATTAACCGCTTCGCGGTTTATTTACCAGTTTCTTTACCAGAATGCTGATGACGTTACATTAATATTAGATAGCACACAAATTTCAATAAAAGAGGCAATAAAAAAATGAAACATTTCTGAATTTAAGACAAACATCGATGAAATCTTTATCCGGAATTGAATTTGCGGTGGGGAAAGACAATTTCCATTTGTGTCAAAACAAAACTAAAAATCTATTTTGGATTGATGTAGAGACTATTAGAGGCCCATGCAGGGAAATCACATACATTATATAGTGAAAGTGAATCCATTTATCAATATTTCCAATATCGTTTTGTTTTAATAACAACTTTGAAACAAATAACATATCATTACATGTTTTATTTCAATCGGATATTACAAAACAAAACAAAAATGAAAACAATCTAAAAAGGGGACAACTTCTTGCACCAAATAGTTCACGTATTCATACATACGCCATCCTGAAATTTTATGGAAAACAAACCTCAGACTCGTTAGTATGTCGATTGAGTCAAAGGTTGATAGAAATGAAAATAAGGGCTTCGTCATTAAGCAGGTATTGTAGATAAAATGTTTTTTATATGATCTGAATTACAGAACTCTATCTTGAAACGGAGATCTCTAAAAAGTGAAAGATTAACTCGGAGATCCATAAAAAGTGAAAGATTAACACGAAGATCTATAAAAAGTGAAAGATTAGCACGAAGATTTATAAAAAGTGAAAGATTAACTCGGAGATCCTAACAAGTATAGGATTAACTTGGAGATGTCTAAAAAGTGAAACATTAACACGAAGATCTATAAAAAGTGAAAGATTAACACGAAGATCTATAAAAAGTGAAAGATTAACACGAAGATCTCTAAATAGTGAAAGATTAACACGAAGATCTATAAAAAGTGAAATATTAACACGAAGATCTATAAAAAGTGAAAGATTAACACGAAGATCTATAAAAAGTGAAAGATTAACACGAAGATCTATAAAAAGTGAAACATTAACACGAAGATCTATAAATAGTGAAAGATTAACACGAAGATCCATAGAAAAGAAAGATTAACACGAAGATCTATAAAAAGTGAAAGATTAACCCGGAGATCCTTAAAAAGTGAAAGATTAACACGAAAATCCCTAACAAGTGAAAGATTAACACGGAGATCCATAAAAATGGAAAGATTAACACGAAGATCTATAAAAGGTGAAAGATTATCTCGGAGATCCATAAAAAGTGAAAGATTAACACGAAGATCCATAAAAAGGTGAAAGATTAACACGGAGATCCATAAAAAGTGAAAGATTAACTCGGAGATCCATAAAAAGTGAAAGATTAACACGAAGATCCATAAAAAGGTGAAAGATTAACACGGAGATCCATAAAAAGGTGAAAGATTAACACGGAGATCCATAAAAAGTGAAAGATTAACTCGGAGATCCATAAAAAGTGAAAGATTAACACGAAGATCCATAAAAAGTGAAAGATTAACTCGAAGATCCCTAAAAAGTGAATGAATTGTTCTACCGTTGTCCTACCGATGTAAGAGCCGATGTGCTACAGAATACCACTTTCTGTTACCTTAAATGTTACCGATGCGCCCCCGATGTTATACCGAGGCATCAGTACTACTTCGGTGGTATTCGGTAGTACTGAGGTATCACATTTGTACCAGTACGGTACACATCGAGGCCACCGGAGAGCCGCCGATACATTACGGGGCGCTACCAGTGCTCTACCGACAGTAACGAAACCAAACCGGAGTACTACCGTTGTAGACCCGTTGCTCGCTCATGCAGTGAAACGGCGGAAGTTTTTGATCATGTTAATAAATGTCTACCGTTGCCCACCGTTTCTATTTTTTCGCCGATTGTTCTGACGATGTCCTGACGATGTACTACCGTTCTTAGCGATGTGATACCGTTCTAGTACCCATCCCCGAAAATCGCCAAACTTGTGCTCCGGTATAGCTCAGGCGACCCAAATCGGCTAGGTGTGATAGGCCCTGAACGTGTATATCAATCATATAAGGTCAACTGTCATTATATACACATGTACAGCTCTTAATACTTCTATATAGTTATTGGCCTTCTGCTTCACCCGACGAGTGTAAATACTTTTGGCATTGGCTCAAGTACATAATTATTTAGATAAAACATAGGGATACTGCACCAGTAAGGCCTCCAACTGGTGAGATAACACCAAGACTACCGATATGTTTTGCAAAAGTTACATATACATTGTGACATCGGTATAGAAGTATATAAAAAGATATAAAACATTGTATCTATAAATTGTATAACGCTATTTTCGGATTTTAACAAAAATTATATTCGGACAGCATTCACGCAATCATTATCAACGCACACATGCACTAGGATCCCCATGTTATAAACACCATCTGGACAATCACCCATATTGGTGAACACGATCGGATTGTTGGGTTTCTATGAATACCACACTCCGAACTTAATCCACCGAAAACTATCGTTTAGGTTATGGACGCTTGCAACACTTCCCTATGCGTGCCCATAATGCTTTATATAACATCTTACATTCGCCACGGAACTTGTCATCAAGGAAACAGTACACTAGTGGGTTTGTGACATTACTGATAAAGTACCCTCTCAACAGGATGTCATCGAATGGACCCAAAACACTATTAATAAGTACACTGAAGTTCTTTGTGACTGATTTGATGATTGTTAGAACTAAATAAGGGATATAACCCAAATACGACACACCAGTCGCTACCAGGAACATAAACGTGATTTGTTTGCTTCTATCGAACCTTTTAGGGTTTTTTTGTTTCACTTTCAATGTTTGATCTCCATTTTGATTGAAAACCCTTGTCCTTGTCATCGCAGTGTTCCCCAAGCTTGATTCGTCCTCGTGCACGGTGTGGTTAACATCAGATGACACAGATTGTTTGTCTGACACAGTAGGAATAGATTTCCTAATTTGAAGAGAGGTTCTGAACTTATATTGTTGATATAGCACACGCCCAATAAATATATAAATAATGACACACACAATGAAAACAATGGTACATATCAACAACAATAACAAGTTGAACCCTTTATAAACTATACTGTCTTTGAATGTGTCTAGAACTTTACAGTCTGTACCGTTTATGCCGTACCGATCGTCGACTATCTCGATCTGAACGCCGTACATCACTAGAGCAGGGGTAGATATAACAGCAGATACCGCAACAGTTACCACACAGGCAATCATGGCGCCATTTCCTTCTAATTGTCGGTCAAATGGTCTACACGCCTTTCGGAATCGTTCTACCGCTATGACACCCAGAAGTGAACCGCTGCATATACTTACAAAATGGTTCAAATACCTGAAGAATCGACATAAACCGTCTATGGTGAACGTGCAGCTGAACCGGATGTCAAAGAGTTCAAAGGGAATACTAAAGCAACACGCTATGAAATCAACAACCGCTAACCAAACTACAAATGTCCTGTGATTTGATGATTTGTACCGTAAAAAGTAAACAAATATTGCGTGCGCATTGCCAATAGTTCCAATGATGCTGAGAATTGCGAGGTACACAGACACAGGTATATCGTTTTCAATATAATCCTGGAACTCAATCACAGATAAAGGCGGCACATTCATGGAAGCATTGGTGTCCATCGTGAAAAAGATTGTTGTCGCATTCACCAGTTTACTATCACTCTATGGGCATGTCACATTAACACTAGTTGTCCGGAAGATTGTTGTCACAATCATTAGTCCACGCTATGTTTGGTAATCAAGTTAACATGTCGTTCTAGATTTCAGAAATCATGAAAACAAACAAGCAATTCAATTCCGAAGTATATTCAGCGTTGTTTCTACTGCAGGACACTTGTTTGTTGACCTGCTACATATCAAATAGCGTCTAAACCAGACTACTGTCAGATGCTACGCTTAACTAGCATTTATCACACAGCTGGAAGGCCAGAGTAAAGATATACACCGACCCGAATTAGTCGTCATCAGGTAAACGTTGTCACTGACACCTCACTCCTTGGTCAATAGTGCCGCTGGTCTTGCTATGATGTTATCGCAAAATATAATATCACTAATTATGCAGTACAAATATATAGTTGATCGTCCACGTGACGGCCGATTTAGTGTATACACGTCAGCCTGCGCATGCCCCGAGCTATTAGTCATACATCCATCTGACTATGCTGTGTATGTGTACATCTTGTATACTTAAAAGTAATGTGGCGGATATTGGTTAGACCGGTGATAAGATTTCCCTTACAACACATCTCATATTAACACCTTAATGTCGTCCTTTACAAAGCTAGAATTAACTTATCGCCTCACTAAAAGGAGTTTATAAACATCCGCAATAGTTAATATTTGTGTGGAGAACGGCCGTGTCCTTTATTCATAGAAATTGATATATATTTTAAAAAAATGTCGAATTTCAAGTATTTCTAGTATAATACGGTTCTGAAATAATATTGTTTCAGAATTAAGGTTTGTTTTATTCATACAACGGAGTTCACCTTCCTGATGTGATACTGTAAATGTTAATTTCTACACACACTATCATACATGTAATACGTTCTGTCACCGCCTTCGGGCTTTGAGCTAATCGCTTAAAAGCGATAATATGTGATTTTCTGATTCATAATATGACATAAGTGACCATGTAAAAAATCATACAGCTTGGTTTAGAAACATCTGATGTGATAAATCATTTGCAATAGTGTTGCTATTGAACAGATTTTCATTGGCTCTTTTCCTCGGTAATTCCTTGTTACTGTGTGGGTCATTTTCTCAATAGATGCCCGATTGGGAATTTTCCATCCCATATATTGACCTGGTCTTCTTATTCATTGAATGCGTTTAAAGTTGTATCATTTTCAGTTAATGTGTTTAAAAATATGTATTACTTTATTATTATTATATCGAAATAATCAAAACCGCTTTTTTAAACTTTTTTTCATGAAATATTGAGCGTAATGTGTTTAACGGTAATGTCTCACTAGGGGGATATCACTTTTCAGAAATTGTTATTCATGGTTTTATGACCTTTTCAACCAGCGAATACCTTTCTCAACTCCCTGAGTGTAAGCCTTTGCTGCCATTAATAAGGCACTCACAACTAGCATTCAACAACTCAAGCACTGTCCAGCCACGTATCCATTTTCAGCTGAGTAGACTGGAAGAAGCGAATCGAAGTATCATGTTCAAAGATACAATACAGTGCCGTGACGTGAGTCGATCTGGTCTGGGTTATTTGTGTTTTGCGTCCTATCAACAGCTATGTTCATTTAAAAGCCGGAGTTCCCAGAGAAAAACCACCGACCTACGGTCAGTACCTGGCCACTGCTCCACGTAAATCTCGAACCGCGACCCAGTGTTGGAGGGCTAGTGGTAACAGAATGTCAGACGCATTAACCACTTGGCCACCGCGTCCCCGTCGGTCACGAGCCCGGCGTCCTACATATATGTACCACTACACTAGCGTTCCTTTAAACTGTATCACGTTGCACATGGCCGTACTATTACGTTGTTTTGGGTCATGGACATAGTTTATGAGTTGAAGCACCTCTGAGTACTCACTGCCATAACAGTCGGGCACGTCAAATAATCATCTGGTAATATGTATTTATTACCGCTAGTTACTATATATATGTACTTATGTAAGTATACATGTTAGTATTTTACAATATTTGTATTTATTTTAGCGACATAAGTTTATGAATAAGTGTATTTTTATTGATTTAAGTGAAACATGTTTATGATTTACTGTATTTGTACTTATTTTAGCGATACATGATTTTGATTTATTGTATACGTATTTATCTTAGTGATACATGTTTGTGATTTACTGTATTTTAACTTATTTTAGTGATATAAGTTATTGATTTTGCTGTTTTTGTATTTAATTTAGTGATAAATGTTATTGATTTTACTGTATTTTTACTTATTTTAGTGATACATGATTGTGATTTTACTGTATTTGTACTTTTTTAAGTAAAACAGGTTTGTCATTAACAGTATTTTTACTTATTTTAGTGATACATGCTTATATTTTTTAATGTATTTGTACCTATTCTAGTGTTTGTGATTTTGAGGTTTTCACTTCATCTGTCAGTGTCAGATTTAGGCGTTATTTATAGAACTTATAATAGAATTATCTCCGAACGTTTAAGGTTAGTATTGATGTGTTTGTTCCTGGTTATTCTGATTTAGATATATCTCGAGTACTTGAATATATGTACGCTTATATGAATATATTTACATTACGTATAATGATTTGGCAATATCACTTCCACTGTGCGATATTGTGAACAATGATAGAACTCTTCTGAGAAATGAAAACCCTGTGAGGAGGCACATGGTTATCTTAACCAGAGTGATGCTTTGGTAAATATTTTTCAGATGTTATTTGTTTTCTAGTCTTAAATGAGATCAATATAGAAACATAGAGTGTAAACATTTTGTTAATTTTGGAAGTTCTAGCTTACATGCAATCAATACAAAAACTTTAATCTTAAACATGTTACGTTCATGTCTTTTCACTTTTCACTTTTTCTACCCAGCAATATCATAGAAATCATTACTTTACCGATACCTTACTAGAACAGACATAATTATATTTATTTTCTATTGAATTTGAATATCAAATTCTGCATTGTGAATGTTTAAGAAATCGTGTTATTTCAATCAATAATGAATATATTTTTAAATTTCTATAGAAATTCGCTCATGGATTAAATTAGGTTCAAATGATATTATTATTATTTCTTTTTTATCAAAACTCTTATTAAGAAATTTGGGTTTTGAAAAACACAGCCCAAATTATCATTATAATATTAATGGTAGTGGGATATTCAAATCAAACAACAAGATGTATGATAAGACTCTTATTTTCAAAGCATGATTATATCAAGGTAGGGGGTCATTGTATCATCTGTTTCACCCTCAAGGTAGGGGATTATTGTTTCCTCTGTTTCAACCTCAAGGTAGAGGCTTATTGTTTTTCTATGTTTCACTCTCAAGGTAGGGGGTTATCGTTTGCTATGTTTCACTCTCAAGGTAGGGGATTATTGTTTTTCTATGTTTCACTCTCAAGGTAGGGGATTATTGTTTCCTCTGATTCACCCTCACGGAATGAGATTATTGTTTCCTCTGTTTCACCCTCAAGGTAGGGGATTATTGTTTCCTCTGTTTCACCCTCAAGGTAGGGGGTTATTGTTTCCTCTGTTTCAACCTCAAGGTAGAGGCTTATTGTTTTTCTATGTTTCACTCTCAAGGTATGGGGGTTATCGTTTGCTATGTTTCACTCTCAAGGTAGGGGGTTATTGTTTTCTATGTTTCACCCTCAAGGTATGGGATTATTGTTTCCTCTGTTTCACCCTCAAGGTAGAGGCTTATTGTTTTTCTATGTTTCACTCTCAAGGTAGGGGGTTATCGTTTGCTATGTTTCACTCTCAAGGTAGGGGTTATTGTTTTCTATGTTTCACCCTCAAGGTATGGGATTATTGTTTCCTCTGTTTCACCCTCAAAGTATGGGATTATTGTTTCTTCTGTTTCACCCTCAAGGTAGGGGATTATGTTTCCTCTGTTTCACCCTCAAGGTAGGGGGCTATTGTTGCCTCTGTTTTACCCTCAAGGTAGGGGATTACTGTTTCCTCTGTTTCACCCTCAAGGTAGGCATTTGTTGTTTTCTTTGTTTCACTCTCAAGGTAGGGGATTACAATTGTTTTCTTATCCTTCCATTTCAGTCAGAACTTCAATTCCACCAACAGTAGTCATATTTTGAAACAAAAGATCCCTTTTTGATGACGTCACGATATCGATGCTAAAATTGGAGACATGCCTGTGAAGGGTTGGAGAATATTATATCAATCAAAACGATTATAAACAAATAGTCATTTCACCACAGAAAAAGGTTACTCACACAGTATAGTATACCCAATCACCAGGAAATAGCGTTTATGAAAGACCAAACACATTTAAATATCATACATTGTTTAATTATGTAACACAACATCATTGGCCAAATTTATTACCAACATTGACATCATTGGCTAAATTTATTACCAACATTAATGACATAATCAATTTACAATACTAATGTCCATCCTGTTCCACCATGTATTATTGCCACCCATTTATATATGTATTCTCTACACTGTATTGTTTATGAGACTAAAACAATTGTCATTGTCAGTAAAAGTGAGCGTTATAACGTGGGCAGATAATGTTACTGGAATTCAGCCAAAACCTGTCAGAAAAACGTAATGGCATTCCTTTGTTTAATGACAATGTTAATTGTTCATGGGCATGTAGTCTTCATGGTTCGGTAGACATGCCCAGGACATGTAGTCGTCGTCATGGTTCGATAGACATGCCAAGGACATGTAAACACGACAATAAATGTTGATTTCTGTGTCATCCTTACTCAAAAGTGATCACCCATAAGGATATACTACGTCAGAGTATGATACCTGAGAGGAGTTAATAAACGCCGAATACCTGGCCATACTTGTAACTCTTTTATCATCTTCTTCACCTACGTTAATTCAGTGTGTGATTCAAGCGACATCATTGAAATTAATCATTTTATTACCTTTTCTTTTCAAATATTCGATAAATATATCAATTGTATCTCCTCGTGGAATATGACGGTCGGATTTATATATAATGTATATTCACAAAAGACCATACGTTTTGAACAAAGATAATGTTTTGATAACAACAAAATGGCTTGTCGTGAAAGTGTCAGCGAGTAAAACTGTTACCTAGTAACAGAACCGTCATTGTGCAACTGTGGTGATCAAATGCTATCTGGTGACAACGTGCTACTGTACTGATTAACTTACTCCTGATAAGTATCATTAGTGTTACTATGGTGATTTAGTGTCACCACGATGATAAATTATAGCTTTGGTGATTAGTGTTACTGTAGTAATATAGTGTAACTACAGTTATAACGTGTATCCAGGACCATGGTGATGATTAGCCAATTTAGAGGAACTTTGTTAATAAAAATATAAATATGGTAATATCATGTTATGCTATAATTAAATTATGGCGATAAAGTACGATTGGGTGTCATCATGGTATTGTATATTGTAACTGTGGTGATAATTGTAACTATGGTTACATTGTGTAATCATGGTTATA